CCACGCCCCCGTAACCCCTTCCCACGCCCCAAACCCCAAACCCCAAACCCCAAACCCCAAACCCCAAACCCTAAACCCTAAACCCTAAACCCTAAACCCTACCTGCGAGTATCTGGTGAAAGGCCTGTTCGACGTTGGTGGCGTCCAAAGCACTCGTTTCTATAAACGCCAAACCCTCCTTGTTTGCAAACCTCGTGGCTTCTTCTGGAGAAACTGTTCTTAAGTGTTTTAAGTCTGTTTTATTTCCCACCAACAAAACCACTATATTAGGGTCTGCGTGGTCCCGCAGCTCCTTCAGCCACCGCTCCACCTAAAACCCAAACCCTAAACCCTAAACCCTAAACCCTAAACCCTAAACCCGGGGGCTGCGAAGCAGCGCGCGGGCAGGCCGCGCGCGCGGCAGAGAAAGCGCGGAGGGAATGCCCGGGCGGTCAGAAAAACAAAAACCTAAACCCTAAACCCTAAACCCTAAACCCTAAACCCTAAACCCTCACGTTGTCGAAGGACTGCCGCTTGGATATGTCGTACACCAAAAGCGCACCCACAGCCCCTCGGTAGTACGCAGAAGTTATGGCCCGGTACCGCTCCTGCCCAGCTGCTCGCAAACCCTAAACCCTAAACCCTAAACCCTAAACCCTAAACCCTAGCTGCGAGCCCCAGCCCCAAACCCTCAAAGTCCGCCTGAGACGCAGACCCGCAGAACGCCACTCACTCAAACAACGGCGCCACACCCACTCAGGGACTCCTCCGCCAAAACACTAAACCCTAAACCCTAAACCCTAAACCTAAACCCTAAACCCTAAACCCTAAACCCTACCGGTGTCCCAGATCTGGGCCTTTATGACTTTGCCTTCGTCTAAATAAACACTCTTCGTCGCAAACTCCACTCCAATGGTCGACTTGCTCTCCAGGTTGAACTCATCGCGGGTAAACCTGCGCAAACCCTAAACCCTAAACCCTAAACCCTAAACCCTAAACTCTAAACCCTAAACCCTAAACCCTGAATACGAAACCCTAGCGGGTCTCTGGGCCGAAGAGGCAGCAGCTACTGCGCTGAAACCGCCCCTTCGAAAATGCCCAAAGCACAAAAGACAAAGGCAAACCCTGCACTGAATCCTCTAAACCCTAAACCCTAAACCCTAAACCCTAAACCCTAGTTCGAAACCCTCACCGAGAGAGCATGTTGGACTTCCCCACGCCACTGTCTCCAATGAGAACAACTGCAAAAGCCACAAATGCGAAAAACCCTAAACCCTAACCGGCGAGCGGCCCCTCTGACTGCTAAACCCCAAACCCTAAACCCCAAACCCTAAACCCTAAACCCTCAGCCATTAATGTACTCTTGTAGAGGTAGTCGTAGTAGTCGTCTTTGCCCGCCATTTTCTTTCAGAGAATTTGCTGCAACTGCTGCTGCAGCTCCTGTTCGTGCGTGCTGCTGTGGCTGCTGCTGCTGCTGCTGCCGCTGCTGCTGCTGCTGCTGCCGCTGCTGCTGCTGCTGCTGCTGCTGCTGAGTTGGGGGCCGTCGGGCTGCTGCGCTGGGGGCCCCTTGAGAAGGGTGTGGGAGGGGGCCCCTGGAGGCCCTGGAAAGGTGCAGAGTGTGCTGCAGCAGCAGCTGCAGCAGCAGCAGCAGCAGCAGCAGCGATAGGGCAATGAATTGAGGCAGACAGCTGCTGCTGCTGCTGCGCTGCAGCGCTCGTGGCTCTGGGGAGGCCTTGGGGGGCGGCGGTGGCCGGTGGGAGCGAAGCAGCAACAGCAGCTGCTGCTGTGTTGGTTGCTGCTGCAGCAGCTGCTGCTGCTCCTGCTGCTGCTGCTGCTGCTGCCGAGCTGCAAGTCTCGCAGTCGCAGCCGCAGAAACAAACGAGGCCTCGTGACACCTGAGAAGCTGCTGCAGCGAAGGAGGACTGAGCAGCAGCAGCAGCAGCAGCAGCAGCAGCAGCAGCAACGGCAGCAGCTGCAGCAGCACGGCAGCAGCAAGAATTGGGCCCGCTGGGCTGTCTGTTGAGCTTCCAGGGGTTAATAAATTCTAAAAGAAAACTCAAATGCAAAGAAAGGGTTGTGCTGCTGCTGCCGCTTCTGCTGCTGCTGCTGCTGCTGCTGCTGCTGCCACAGGTTGGCCGCGCTGCTCCACTTTGCTGCTGCTGCTGCAGCAGACAGGGCCCCCCTTCAACACCACTGTATTCCATTTTGCATTCAGTTTTTCTTTACTTTTGCAAGAGTTCCTTCACTCCCTATCTTTTTCGCTGAGTTCCTGGGGGTCTAAACCCTAAACCCTAAACCCTCAGCCGCCGCTGCTGCGTTCGCTGCTGCTGCTGCTTTTCTCTCCTGCTGCAGCAGCAGCAACAGAACGAGAAATAGACAGGGGGGCCCTGGCAGCAAATTGGGCCCCGGAAACCCTGGCTGGCGAGATAGCTGCGTTGCTGCAGCAGCACTCGAACTTCTCATATCTGACTTTTTGTCGCCGAAAAGGAACTCTAATTTTGCTTTCGAAGTCGTAATGGCTCTTCAGAAAATGCATTTCAGACGTTGCTGCTGAGTGAAAGCGTTTAGATTTAGGGTTTAGGGTTTAGGGTTTAGGGTTTGGGGTTTCAAGCTGATTTCAGGATAAGGGTTGGGTGTCTCGAGATGCAGAGAGGCGAGTCGAAGGCATTTATTTGCAAGACATAAATGCCATTTAATTGCATTTATTTTGCATTTCACTTGCAGCTTATCTGTTGAGTTTCGGCTCTGTGAGCAGCTGATCGCGCGCTGAGTGGAAAGCAGATTCAATTCGTCTTTCTTTTGCTTTTTCCTTTTCGATATCCCTGCGAGGTGAATTCTCGAGCATAAATGATTAAATGCAAACAAAAGTGGCGGCGCTGAAGAACTTTTTTTGGCCATTTCGTCTTTTGTTCAAATTGGAAAGCTGGTTCAGAATGCGGCAGAGCTGCCTATACACCTGAACGCCCGCAGATCTGCACGCGCTGAAGCCAAACTTGAACAGTGCGACAACTTGAGGAATTGAATTTATTTCTGTTGCGAACACTTATATTATATTAACACTTATATTATAATTTCGTTTGTTTATTTGTTTACAGTTGTTGTTCTGGAAAATGGATGCGTTGGGGAATTTAGACTCTTTCATCGCTGGCTGCGACGCCACGAAGATGGGCGCGTTTCTCGAACTCGTGCAGCGGCGGTGAGCAGCTTCGGACTCTCGCAGGAGTGGAGTTGGAAGTGAACGAAGAGGTTTTTGTGTTTAGGTTTTCAGAAGCTCAGTTGCAAAAGCAAAAGAAAGTGGAGAGTGCAGTTTCGAACATGCACAAGCAGCTGCTGGAGGCGGCTGCAGCGAAGAAGCAGCAGCTGCAGCAGCAGATCGGCAGCTCGCTGGCTGCGCTGAGCAGCAAAAGAGACGCAGCAGCAGCAGAACTGACGCAGAGTTTGGAAGCAGCAAGAGCCAAGAAGCAGCAGCTGCTGCTGTCTTTCCAAGAACAAGAACAGGCGTGTCAGGTGGGCCGCCGCGGACTTGGAATTTTTTCCAAGTCCCCAACTTGAACTTTTTCAAACTCAGGAAATCGAAGACGAAGTCAAAGACCTCGCCAGCCGCTTCCTTGCGAAGCAGCAAGAAATGGGTGAGAACTTCAGAAGTTTCAAAAGTTCGAAAAATTCAAAAAGTTCAAAAAATTCAAGAAGTTCAAAATATTCAAAAAGTTCAAAAGTTTCAAAAAGTTCAAAAGTTTCAAAAGTTCAAAAGTTTCAAAAAGTTCAAAAAGTTCAAAAAATTCAAAATGTTCAAAAAATTCAAAAAGTTCAAAAGTTGCAAAAATTCATCTTTTCATCTTTTCAGAAAAAAGACACAAACAAACGCTGCGCGCCTTCTTCGAAACTGCGGTGCAGAAAATCCACCAAGTGCGTGAGTGCAGAAAGTTGAAAAGTTGAATTTTAAAAATGAATTAAATTCAAGAATTAAAAATTGAGTTTCAAGAAAATGAGTTGAAGTTGAGAATCAAGAAGCTGAATTTCCATAAAATGAATCAAATTCAAAAGTTGAAAAGCTGAAATTTGAAAAAATGAATTAAATTCAAAAAGTTGAAAAGTTGAATTTCAAGAAATTCAATTAAACTCAAAAACTAAAAGTTGAATTCTAAAAAGTTGAATTTTAAAAGTGAAAAGTCGAATTTGAAGAAGTTGAATTAAATGCAAACTTGAAAAGTTGAATTAAAAAGACTAAAAGATCTTTGAACTTCTTTTATTTCAGGCTCGAAATGGATCTTTTTTGTCATTTCAAGAAAAAGAAAAAGAAAAAGAAAAAATCAAAAAAACTCTTCTGGAACTTCTTCTGGCCCTCGGGGGGCCCCCGGCGGTGCCTTTGTTGGCATCTTTGCAAAACAATTTAAATTAATTTTAATTCAAAAATTAAATTCAAAAATAAAACTAAATAAATCATTTTCCCCAAATAACTCAAAAAGAACTCAAAATAATTCCGAGATCTTCGGAACGAAAATTAAAAACTTGAAAATAATTAAGTGCTGCAACTGGCGAGAAACAACAGCTGGCGAAATCCTGAAAAAAGGAGAAAATATTTTAAATAAAAAAGAAATATTTTAAATTTAAAAGTAAAATGTTCAATTTTAAAATAAATTGAATTAAGAGAAACATTCTCTGCAGCTTGCTGCTGCTGCAGCCAGTCAAGTGCAGCAAGCTGCAGCAGCAGCAAGCTGCAGCAGCAGCAAGCTGCAGCAGCTGCAGCAGCAGCAAAATATGCGTTTTTGCACTTTTGATTTTATCTTCGAGTGGCGTTTAGATGGGTTTTTATTTTGAACTTCAAACAGTTTTAATCTTTTGATTAATTCTTCAATTTAGAACTCAAAACAACTTTTATTTTAATTAACGTTTATTTAATATAAATTCAAATATTTCCTTCTTTAATTCAAATATATCTAATCAATATTTATTTAATACAAATTCAAATATTTCTTTTTTTAATTCAAATATTTCTTTTTCAGTTTTGTTTTTATTCGCGACTTTGAACAGTTCCCGTCTTTACTTTTGCTGCTTTTAATTATTTAAAATATTTGAATTTTTTTAATCTTATTAATTATTTAAATTATTCTATTTATTATTTTATTTATTTATTTATTTAATTTATTTAATTTATTTATTTTATTTATTTTGTTAATATTTTGTTAATTTAATTATTTTAATTTTCAGAAAGTTTTTTTTTTGTTTTTTTTAATTTGCGTCGTTTTGAAATTTCCGTTTTTGGAGACGACAAAATGCTGTGGCGAAATTTGCGTTTTCAAATAAATAAAAAATGAAGAAACTTTATTTCATTAATTTAATTTAATTTAATTTAATTTAATTTAATTTAATTTAATTAATTTAATTAAATTAATTTAAATTAATTAAGTTGATATAAAATGTTATCTTTTTATTTTGTGTTGTAATCGAGTTTCTCTTTTTGCTGCTGCTGCTGA